AATTTATTACAGTGAAAATTGTTCAGTGAGCACTTTTTCAAGTCTTAGTTGGGTGATCTTACCGAAGCTATTAAATGTGATTCCTTGAAAAAGTTGTATAATATGAAATAAGTAATTCTTTTCCAACTAACCGAACAATACTCCACAACAAGGGGTGGACGATCTTTAATTGCTATGAATTATTATTATTCATAGCAATTTACATTCACTTATTTAACTATGAAACTACAATGAACATGCATTGCGACACAAAACGTTGTGATGCCTGTGATCGAGTATTTTTTATACAGTTATGCTACACTGAAAACGTCAAATTTAAACATACATGATTTGTAATCTATTGGATAGTAGAAGACATTAAAATACATCGTACGTCGAAATCCCTCTTAAAACATATAGAGTTCAAAGAGTTTGCTGCTTGCTGCCATTCAGCAGAATAACGATGGACACAGCACGTCATTATTTTAGTTCTCAGAGATTATGTATTATTATGCTGGGTGTAATACCCAGCATAATCATGCTGCTAGATTTTACATGGATTTACGTCGTTTGGTGTTTAGCATAAAATTGATTGGTGAGATTAATTTAATCCCCGTTCGAATCAAGTTCTAATAAAAAAAAATACTCAAAGAAGATACCAAAACTCGACAACGTTTACAAAATACTGAAACATAAAAATGTTTAATTTCTCTTGTAAATTGAACATTATTAAAAACGTATTTTCTTATTTATTTATGCTCCCGTTTACTTATACATTTTCAAAGATTTATTGATTGAATTACTATCACGAAACGGTGGTGAATGCATTAATTATGTGATAAAACTTATTACTTTCACCTCCAAGGTTGGATCTACGATGCAAACAGATCCTAGATTTCATTCCGAGTGTATCACGCATGTTTAACATAGAACATAATACCCATCTATAACACTGTACGTGTGTCTAACATATTGAACATTTGTCTAACATTGAGCGCTTATGCTGCTATATTTGATATGATACTAACGACTCACCATCCAACATTAGCATAATGCTAACTATCCTTAGTATAATTAGCATAATGCTAACAATCCTTAGTATATGTAGAATATGATTCTGATCTTAGTTGCATAATCTATACGTAAACTCTTACTTTAATTCAATTATTAATTTTACATCTGAGATGACGGATTGCATTCGACCTCACTGCAGCATCTAATGGCTGCACTACATTAGACAACACTGCTGATGAGAGCATATCATTTCGCTACACTGCATACCGAAAACAGCGTAACCGACAACATCGCTCTCGAAAGCATAGCATGCGTCAAGATAACGAACGACAACATTTCATTACATTGGACAACATAGAATAGCGTGATTTCAAAAACGTAGCATTCGACAACATCTTCTCTTATATATACGCTAGTGCAGGCCTCTTTTCTTTATGCACCAAGAGGTTCATTTTGCAGTCACGAACTACATCAACATGCCACGAATCAGGCTGAATTCATACATTCTAAATGGCAGCACATCAATTGGCTATTTCACTAAGATCTACTGAGCTAATTAACCACTGAGATTAGATTAGGAAAATAAGTGCTAGACATGAAGATTTAATTGAAAATGACGCATATACTTAATTATCGTCTCAGCCCTTGACTCAATTTCTCGTCATCTCAATAAATACTTACCGGAAACTTTCCGCTAGCTTACAGTCATTAAAATTCACACTCTAAGCCTTTGCAGAAAACAATAATTAATTCTATAAGACGTGAGCCAAGTGTTATATTCTAAAAACTACTTGCGCTTCACAACACCAAAGCTCTCTCTGTGAAATACATCGAGAACCTCTTACTTAGTAGTCGTTTCTGGCAAAAACTTAATCGTAAATGCTAATTACACAGCAATAGAACGACATTTTGTTCTATAACGTACCATTCAATATGCGTTAGAACATTGAAAAGCATATCACAAAACATGGAGATGAACGAACCTTCTTTTGTAGCTCTTAATTTACATCACTTAGACTAACCACGAACTTGAAAGCGACTACACAGTGAGACAACGAGCGATAAATTGATCTAAGCTATTTAGAATATAATAATAATCATAAAATGCTGGTCAAAATTAGTCTAAGTACCGATTGTTATCTATCTCATGTCATCTATTTTAGAACATCGTGACCACAAAAATAGTTTGTTCCGTCTATTCAGCTGGCAAAAAAATTAGTTTGAATAGTTCATTTGTCAAAGAAATGAATACCGACTTAAACGAGCCTCTCCAAATAGTTATAATATAAATAATTCATATGATATATCATATCGATGTTATTTAAATTACGTAAAGCTACTCTGACGTGAAACCCTCGAACTAAATTGTTGGTCAGTACACATAAAACAATTTCAGATGTTTTATTTTTTCTTCCACATAAAATTGAATTTTATATACATTGGAATTCTAACTTTATGAGCATTGTTTCTTTATGTTGTTGTCATATAGTATAGTGAAACTCGAATACGGGAATGAAACGTTTACATCTTCTATTATATTATTATTTTCAGTTTAGTCCTTAGTGTTTTCGTGGCTCTGAGCAAAAAGCACTAAAGTGTATGAAGTATCTTTACATACGCACGAAGTTGCAAATGATTGAATATTTCTGTACGCGCAAATTGAAAACATGGTGAAAAGACTATACGTATGTATAAATTAAGACAAGTATGTGAATGAATGCCATGCAGACAAATTTGATTTCCTTCCACTTCATCATACATTTTTTAGAAACTAAAATAAGGAACGATGATCAGATAACGTGTAATTTAGAAATGAATATATGCCAACAACTATAATGATGTTGGTCTCGGAACATTTCATCGTTAGGACGAACTTACACGTTATGTTATTCTGGGGTTTGTGACATGCTTTGCAGTCGGTTCGAAATCTTTACTAGTTGAAATTAAATGTCACCAACACTAAATTACCCAGTGAGAGCGCTCTAATAGTCCGTTATAAGATAGACAGTTAACAACAATCAGCAAAGATTCATTCATATATTCTAAGATTTATTCGCTACACCATAAGACTATTTCAAGAACGATTAAGAACAACATCTTCCGCTGAGATCAAATGTTCATCAAAGTGCTGTACGGACAAGCGTGGAATGATATTAAACATCCGTCTACAATTCTACCGCTGAAAGCTACAAAGCACTACGAGTAAAAAGCATATTTCACGGAAGCTGGCTGTTAGGAGCTCAGACCCGAAAATGTGAAATAAAATTTGAAGTAATTTGAAAATCCTCACTGCCAGTAAAATAAACTAATTTATTTCCCAATTTAGCGTGATTTTAATTGTTTCCTTCATTACAGATGCAAAAAAGCCGTTAAGCGTAATTGCAACGTCTATCGTACGATGCAGAGATGCACAGGAGGTCATGGATGGTACGATATCTTCAACACCTTACCAGACGCTGCCATAACGCACACTCACGAGCTTTTGATCAATACGGACATAAATATATCATGTATTCAGGCTATTAAAAATTTCCCACTCCGAACAAAAAAGAAATTGTAGTCATTGTTTAAAAATAAGCACTTTTCTGATATCCAGAAATTATTTACCGATTGCCTGTGGTTCACGTTCCTTGTTTAAGTGCTGTTTTTGAACATTCAGACTTCAACGTACATTTAATGAGACAGCAAGCACATTGACTGAACATTGAATATTAATACACGTTAAGACAACATTCAAGAACGAGTCAAACGCTTCATTACTACAAGCGTTAATTAATGTTTTTAACTTTAATTCCGCGGTCTTTAAACTTCTGGGGATTCTGATTGGCTGATTAATAAACGTTGCCATATTTTGACAGCGTCAGAAGCCTGGAGTTGGTGATCTGCTCAGATATAACATAGAGTGCCTACCCGGAGTAGGTGAGTTGAACATATATGACTTGACTGGATGCAGGGAGTAGGTGTGTTGACATAAATGACTTGACTGGATACCGGGATTATAGGTGAGTTGAACATATATGACTTTACTGGATAAGCCGAGTGGGTGAATTGAACATATATTACTGGACTGTATACCGGGAATAGGTGAGTTGAACATATATGACTTGACTGGATGCAGGGAGTAGGTGTGTTGACATAAATGACTTGACTGGATACCGGGAGTATAGGTGAGTTGAACATACGTATATGACTTTACTGGATAAGCTGAGTGGGTGAATTGAACATATATTACTGGACTGTATACCGGGAATAGGTGAGTTGAACATACTGTATATGACTTGACTAGATACCCGGATTAGGTAAGTGGCACATATATGACTTGAATGGATACCCAAAGGATATGAGCTACGCAGCTATGACTAGACTGGATCTCAAGAAACACTTAGAACATTATAATCCTAAACACAACACACAATAGAGATGACTTAATACTGCAAATGAACGCTCTCACTGGAAATTTAGTTGGTGACTTGCAATTAATTCGAGAGCTGTACTCTTATCATGTTCAAAAATGAAATAATTTTGGAATTAGATGTGGAACATTGGATACTGTAAAATAAATTTGACATTAAATGTGTTGTGAACGATTGGAAAACGCAATTCTTCATTCCTCCGAATATGGAATAATGACTTGATTAACCGTAAAACTTCAATTCCATCATTTATAAATAAATGTAGTAATTGGTTCGACAATTAAATCGTTACTAGTGATATGAGCTTAGTTCTGCCGCATATTAATAGATTAGTTGATTTTAGCATGAAAAATATATGAATGGCTAAACCGGTAGGATGCACTTGATACTAAAGTGTCAGATTTTTGGTTCACAGATAACCGTTTGATTGCGCTAACATTTAGGAATAATATTCAAATTCCCAACCTTGACCCTGTTGCATCTGCGGTGCATTGATATTTGGAGACCTGGCAATTGGTGCAGAGGATCGTTGTAAAACATTTTTTTAGTTCAAATTCAATAATGGAACTCGTTTTTGGAGGTTTGCTTTCCTCGTTAAACATGAGTGCCTTCCATGGACATTCGGTCGAGTTCATTTTGCGTATACTCCACAGGCTGTGTGAGCTTGCGAAGGCGCTGTGGGACAATAAAAACCGCTGATAATAATGTTACGTATTCACGGAAAAACAACAATTGCAAATAAAATTTTATAATTAGATGATTAGTATAATATTTAAATAACTTTTTCCAGTGGATGGAAGCTACAATGGTAGAAATTCAAAGGCTTTATTAACAGTGCGACTCACCTCCTTAACAGACCCAGACGTGGTGCAGAACATGTGCAGATGTAGGATGGTGTGATGACTCACCTCCTTAACAGACCCTGACGTGGTGCAGAACATGTAGCAGATGTAGGATGGGATCCATATGATGGAGGAACACGTTATGCACCATCCCAGAGCGACCACCCACATCTTCGGGGGTTCCTTGTGAGGATGTTGCTCGTCTCCTCCCCCGGGCAGGAAGGAAAACAGGAACAGCACCTGAGAACAGTAGAACTGTACTGGCCCAGTTGATTGCACAGTGGGAGCACTATGGACTGTTTACTGTCCTAGCACTGAAAGATACCCAAAAATTTTTCTATAAAAAAACGTTCTAAGGCTCGTGAAAAGTAAAGAGTTCGATTCAACTATGTAGGGGTAGTGTTGTGGTTTTACCTGCCAGCCCCAGGGCAAGGTATCTTTTATTTTAAAGGTTAGCCTCTAGTAGCAGTTAACATAAAGCAAAAATTGAGTAAAAATATGCAATATTAAAGCCTAGCTTTCGAATTGTTATGCTGCAGCTTCTACGATAGTTGTTTTACTGGCATGAGACAAGTAAAGTGTATATACTTGTCTCGAGAAAAGTATGGTAAACATTCCTGGCCACCTGCACCTGCTTAAATAAAATTACGTACGAAGATGAAAATGGGCGAGATGTACTTCCAGCAGGCGATCCAGAAACGTCCAGGTCGGAAGCCTAGCATCTTCTGGACATCAGAGGCGAATCTCTCGGCGCCATAGAACCAGCAGACGGCGGCCGCCTCCACGAACACAATAAACAGAATTGGGTTGCCGGTCCCGTAGTCGTTCAGGAGTTCAACCACGTACATCCCACCCTNCAGATAGCGACCTAATTTCTACCCGTAGCGCTGATACGTTCTTTTCCCCGGCCATCTTAGTTAGGATAACTCACATAGGATAAAAAGCACATCCCTATTTCGTAATTGGACAAAATCTCAATTATTCCTCTGAGAGCACGTATACATTAGCTGCACATTCGTACATAAAGTTGAAGGAACAGGTTTAAGCAGGCATAAATACTTCACTTAATCAAGCATTAAGTCTAGCAGCTATCTCAATCAATCGTCAGCTATGGAAAGATCGGGTTCCAAAGGCCGGATCCCTTGTGAATCAAGTCACGAAAAGTTCAAGAATCGGCAACAGGCCATGGGCCTATTTCTTCAATGCCGACACTTCTATTCTATTCTATTATTGTAGGATGCAAGAACCATCGAGTGATGCGTAGTCAAGAATGATTCCCATTCGATAAAACTCGATTGGCCAAACATTCAAGGTTTGGCTAAAAGTCCGTCAAAAATTTATTTAAGAAAACTAAACGAGGATCCTATTTGAATTACGACATGAAATTTTTAAATTAAATTATAAATTTAACTTAATTCTAGCATCACACAGCGGAAATATATCCTAAGATAAATATGGAACTATGAGTTTCATAAAGAATCTCAACAATCAACATTCATTCATTCAACAATCATTATTCTGCATCACTGTGATGATTAGACTTGCCGAGTGTGATGAGCATGAGGAAGAATATTATGGACCAGAAAACAGAGCCTGTCATGGTGGCGATGGCTTCAGGGTACACCGTGAACACCAACCCGGGACCTGAGGGAACATCACAGCGATTAGTGAGCCTCTGTACTTGTTATCTCTATCGTCATTCTACCATCATAAGAGCATATGTTTGGTTATAAATAATGAAACTTTTATATTGAATTTCTTATTAATAGATAGAAGTCCAAAATAAAATTAACATTTTTTTAAAACATACTTGTCTAAATGAAGGCTTCTACCCAAAATATAACGAATTTTAGTTAACATTACTGAGCAGCCCACAACACAAGTATTTATGTCGAAATTCAAGCATGAACTACACCAATAGTAAGATTTAAATTAAAATGGAATTCTTTTTAACCAAACTTGTCTAAATAAAGGGCTCTACGTACACTAAATTCGCCATTATACCCATTGTACCCACCATTACTCGCCATTATACCCATTGTACCCTCCATTACTCACCATTATACCCATTGTACCCTCCATTACTCGCCATTATACCCCTTGTACCCTCCATTACTCGCCATTATACCCCTTGTACCCTCCATTACTCGCCATTACACCCATTGTACCACCATTACTCGCCATTATACCCATTGTACCCACCATTACTCGCCATTACACCCATTGTACCACCATTAATCGCCATTATACCCATTGTACCCTCCATTACTCGCCATTACACCCATTGTACTCTCCATTACTCACTATTATGCCCATTGTACTCTCCATTACTCGCCATTACACCCATTGTACTCTCCATTACTCACTATTATGCCCATTGTACTCTCCATTACTCGCCATTATACCCATTGTACTCTCCATTACTCACTATTATGCCCATTGTACTCTCCATTACTCGCCATTACACCCATTGTACTCTCCATTACTCACTATTATGCCCATTGTACTCTCCATTACTCGCCATTATACCCATTAAAATTGTACCCACCTTCCTCGCCCACCTCCGCGACGTCCCTGTTCTGCACGTAGGCCATGTAGCCCAGCACCGAGAATATCACGAAGCCGGCCAGGAAGCTCGTCACGCAGTTGATAGTTGCGGTCAACATCGCGTCCCTGTTGGTGCCGGAATGATCGATATAAAGTTACATATTGTTTCCCTGTTGGTGCCGGAATGATCGATATAAANTTGGCGCTCCAAGTATGAACGCGTTCAAGAACAGACTAGATAAAGCTATGGAAAAATATATGTTCAGATTTGAAATGCCTAGCTCCTTATCGAACCCGGTGGAAGTCTAGTAGCTTCTTCAATCCTGTCTCTTATACACATCTAGATGTGTATAAGAGACAGGTTTAGATCTATGAACAAGGCACGAAATGGAAAAGAATCGGCGACAGGCCACATCAGGCCTACACTTCAGAGCCGACATCACTATGTTATGTTATGTTATGTTATGTTAAATAAATGGCTCTACACTAAATATACGAACTGTGTATAAGTGAAAACCAATTAAGCATTTGGATTGTATTCATACAGGGCATAGGGATGAGTCATTTAGCGCCCATTACTACCTTTCATTGGCGCCTTATATAACTCATCTTTTTAGCGCATTTTCTCATTTATGGAAAAAATGCACTATTGTGCTCGACATGTCCGTCTGTCTGTCTGTCCGTTTGTCTGTCCGTCCGTCCGTGACCTCAAGTTTTCGTCGATGATAAAATGCGCTCTCTGTCACTCACTGCAGTGAGTACTGAGTTATGTTTTTTTATTATTATAATTGCGGAGTAACAGTCAAAAATACACTGTCATCTGATATATTTTTGGTCAAATTTTTGGTCATTCTCATCTAAATTCGCCATTTTACTCATTCCTCAATTGATTATATATTCGCACTTTTACTCCTTCGTACTAACCTGTATTCCCTATTACACTCAACTGTAGTAGGCATTGTGCCTCATTGTACTCCACATTACTCGCCATTATACCCATTGTACTGACCTTCCTCGCCCACCTCCGCGACGTCCCTGTTCTGCACGTACGCCATGTAGCCCAGCACAGAGAATATCACGAAGCCGGCCAGGAAGCTCGTCACGCAGTTGATTGTTGCGGTCAACATCGCGTCCCTGTTGGCGCAGTGATAATTGATAAAAAGCACCATTGTGCCCCTGTTGGTACCGGAATGATCGATATAAAGTAATATTGTGTCCCTGTTAGTGCCGGAATAATTGATATAAAGTACCATCGCGTTCCTGTTGGTACCGGAATAATTGATTTAAAGTACCATCGCTTCCCTGTTGGTACCGGAATAATTGATATAAAGTACCATCGCGTCCCTGTTGGTACCGGAATAATTGATATAAAGTACCATCGCGTCCCTGTTGGTACCGGAATAATTGATATAAAGTACCATCGCGTCCCTGTTGGTACCGGAATAATTGATATAAAGTACCATCGCGTCCCTGTTGGTACCGGAATAATTGATATAAAGTACCATCGCGTCCCTGTTGGTACCGGAATGATCGATATAAAGTAACATTGTGTCCCTGTTTGTACCGGAAGAATTTATATAAAGTACCATCGCGTCCCTGTTGGTGCCGTAATAATCCATATGAAGCACCATTGTGCCCCTGTTGATGTCGAAATAATTTGTAGAAAATACAATCGCGCCCCCGTTGTGCCGGAATAATTAATACGAAATCAGACGTGTTGCTGTTGTTGCCGAAATAATTAATACAAATCAGTAATGTCCCTGCAGGAGCCAAAATAATCAATACATAATCAGTCGTGTTGTTGTTGGTGCCGAAATAAACAAGTTTCTCATAAATTTTAGGTAGTGAAATTGTGAAATTATAGGGATCAAATCACACTTTTGAGGAACGTATAATTAAAAATTCAGTGTAAAGATGTAACGGAGAAAATAAGGCAGATATTGATGGATAGACCGGAAGTGAATATATTGATGGATAGACCGGAAGTTAAGATATTGATGGAAAAACCGGAAGTAAGGATATTTATTGATAGACCGTAAGTGAAGATATTGATGGACAGACCGGTGAGGGGAGATAAGAAAATGTAGGGTGTGTGAGAAGGGGGGAAGGGGGCTGGGAAAAAGGCGGGGAGCCTGGGGATGTTGGAAGAGGGGAGACAAGAAAATATAGGGTGTGTGAGTTTGGGCTTGAAAAAAGGCGAGGAGCCTGGGGATGTTAGAGGAGGGGAGATAAGAAAATGTAGGGTTTGTGAGAGGGGGGGAAGGGGGCTGGGAAAAAGAATGAAGGCACCAAAGTACGACCCAGAGCATTTCTGTGAGAAATAGGAGTGAAACGGATTTTAAAAATATAAGTGATTGCGCTGAATAACGAAAAATGATTAATTATTACACTGGAAAAGCGTTTTTGCATATCAAATTCAAGGTAAACTATTTTAAGAACTCATTTCCAACAGTATTTCTTTGGGAGTTAACTATACTTCTCTGCAAAAGCGATAAGGTGTGCTGAAAGCTGCTTTTGTTACTCAATTAGGCATTTAATGCTAGAACAGGATTCATTACCTATAGAAATTGATACAGACCTTAATGATCCATTAAAATTGTTTGCCTAGTCTAGTGAGCCAATATGATATGCGACAGTTTCAAAGGACATAAATTAAATTAAATAACTGTAAAAATATAAATAATGACTGCATATATTACGTATTGGGTCAACTTTTGAATATTTCACGATTTGAATATTGTATCATTACAAAAGTTACATAAAGAGAAAATCATTTAACGTTAAGCGCTCCCACACTTTCGCATTCAGGTAATTACTTTTGGTATCTTTTATTTTGCCTAAATACAATATTTTGTTTCCGCTTCCAGATAATTTTTCAGTAATAAAAACGAACATGAACAATAAGAGAACAGCAGTAGCAGGTTCCATTACCGTGGCCACCTAATAACAAATAATTTCTCTGGACTAGAAGGCAGCGAGGTTCAAAACAGACCTATACAGTACATATGAAGCACAACACTCGCCCCAGCGCAGCCTCAACGGCCTTCGGGTCTCACTATCTATACTATCACATAAAATAGTTACTAACATTTTCTATAAACCACGATTACTGTAGCAAAGAATATTCATTGCAAATTCGTCACGTTTCAATTGAAAGTAGTTCAGTTCAGCCATCAGCAATGCTTAGTACTGCTACGTCCGAAATGTTTGTCAAATTTACAAAGTTAGCCAATGAATAGAACGCGTGAACGCGTTATACCTTAGATACGATGCACCGAGAGTTTGATTTTTGGTTAGTTTGCTATTAAAGTTAAAAATCAACAGACAGCGTGACGCAGCGTACCTGTGTTTCGGTGACGTAAAATGAAGGCTAACATTAATTAAGCTTGGCTAACTTGTATGATGTGGCTTTGAAAACAAAACATAAACATAAAATCAAGACAGCATAGGCAATTTTGCATCATGTCCTATTGTGTCTCAAATGTTATATACATCAGTCTTATGGACTGTATGGAAACTGCGAATATTATTTTATTTGATGAATAATTTACGAGTTGAACGAAAATTTAATAGCGAAGAAATAATTGAAAATGTTTTTGAAAATTTAAATGAATATTTCGGATACTAGATCAATTATTAGTTTCCCAACATCAACGTGTGACATCATTGCAATACGCGGATTTTATTGACTATTGACAAAATAACTTTTTCATGAATGTGCACATATCACTTGTAAACTAATGCTTATTCATACATTGGCAGGACAATTGATTACTTCGTTCTTATGAAATTGAAGGAAAATTGGAACAAATAATTGAAAACTGTAGATTATAAATCTCTTACCAATTTGAAGAAAATAAAGACAAATTATGTTCCAGAGAGGTTACTTTTTTTAAATTGTTTTATGCTTAGCTGCCTACCTGAAAAAAAATTCACCTTGCTATGAAGTTTTCAAGTCAAATCAACCAGTAAACAAGAATGAAAATCTATACTTTCATTTGTTATTTGTATCTTTTAGTTCCTAAATTAAACTACAAATCATTACATTTCGTCATGGCGACGTGAGAATTTTTGTGTACCAAAATTTCTTTTCAAAAAGTAATCAATCTAACGTAGGATGAATACAATTATGTGTATTTTCCGAGCGTTAAATTTGAGTCTCATTTCACTAAATACTAACAGTCATTCCAATACTAAGCTTGGTGAAATAATATACAGTCACGGCAGTCAATTTATTGCTAATAAAAAATATTTATAATATACTCATAATATCACTTGGCGATCGCACCCTGAAAAGATCGTACCCTGATCATTTAAACATTCGAGTAGCGTTGAATCCAAGAGATGTTCTGAGCATCAACTCAATCAACTCACCTCTTGGCTGTACGAATAATTTATTTAGTAGATAAGATTTTATCCCGCGATCTTGTACAGCAATTAATGATAAGAGCTTCTGCTGAAAATTTTCACTACGGACCTGTGTCGCGTAGTCTCGACGTACTAGCCGGCTGCTGTTTACACCCGAGCCGATACGCCGATACAGCAGTGATAGTCTCAACTGACCAGCATCAATTTATTCTTGTGCCGATACAGCAGTTAGTCTCAACAGACCTGCAGCAGTTTATTCTTGTGCCGATACAGCAGTTAGTTAAGACTGACCTGTAGCAGTTTATTCTTGAGCCGATACAGCAGTTAGTCTCAACTGACCTGTAGCAGTTTATTCTTGAGCCCATACAACAGTTAGTCTCGACTGACCAGCAGCAGTTTATTCTTGTGCCGATACAGCAGTTAGTCACGACTGACCTGTAGCAGTTTATTCTTGAGCCGATACAGCAGTTAGTTAAGACTGACCTGTAGCAGTTTATTCTTGAGCCGATACAGCAGTTAGTCTCAACTGACCTGTAGCAGTTTATTCTTGAGCCCATACAACAGTTAGTCTCGACTGACCAGCAGCAGTTTATTCTTGTGCCGATACAGCAGTTAGTCACGACTGACCTGTAGCAGTTGTTGTGGAACTTATTGTAGGACGAGAGAGCGAGGAGTGTTCCGAACCCCGGACCAAGACTGAAGAAGATCTGAGTCGCCGCGTCCACCCACACCTGTCAACGGCACAATTTACACTCAATGGAAATGCGAGAGAAATTCTCAACAAGCGATTGATGTACTTAATGCCCTCGAGTGGGTCACCCTGACCCAATTAGGTCCAACAGAAGGACGTGTCAGTGTAACGACCGTTCTCCGCTAATACTGTGCTTAAGGAAGTTTACCCATACATCTTTCTGAGTGTAGTTTAGTGGGCCCTAGCTGCCAAGGAACCTCTAAGCTCAGAGTATGAACAATGTGAAAACCCAGGACGCTTACTTATATTTCAAAATTTTTTGAGTATGTGAATGCTCTTTGCTCTTCTGTAACAGAAATCAAAATTACTGAGAATGTCATTTCATTTACTTATTATTATTAATATTATTATTATTAGTGTTATTATTATTATTATTATTATTATTATTATTATTATTATTATTATTATTATTATTATTATTATTATTATTATTATTATTAGTATTTTATTCAATATTATTCAATTATTTTACCTAGACTGACTATGACTGACATGTATGTTTAGCAGCATGTGGAAGCGAGGTGTGATGTAGTACATGATGCCTGTACCGGCCCCGGGGAGGCTCACCCCGCGCACCAGCAGGATGAGCAGCACCACATATGGTGCGGTTGCCGTCACCCACACTGCCTGAAACAATTACGGTCTCTCCTCTCAATGTAAATTGCGTTGAAACAACGTTGATTAAGAGTTGATTTCGCTGAAACTACGTTGATTAAGGGTTGATTTCGTTGATTAAGAGTTGATTTCGTTGAAACAACGTTGATTATGAGCTGATTTATTTGAAACAGCGTTGATTAAGAGTTGATTTCGTTGAAACAACGTTGATTAAGAGTTAATTTCGTTGAAACAACGTTGATTAAGAGATAATTTCGTTGAAGCAGCGTTGATTAAGAATTGATTTCGTTGAAACAAAGTTGATTAAAAGTTGATTTAGCTGAAACAACGTTGATTAGGAGTTTATTTCGTTGAAACTACGTTGACTAAGAGTTGATTTTGTTGATTTCGTTGAAACAACGTTGATTAAGAGTTGATTTCGCTGAAACAAAGTTGATTAAAAGTTGATTCAGCTGAAACAACGTTGATTTGGAGTTTATTTCGTTGAAACTACGTTGACTAAGAGTTGATTTCGTTGAAACAACGTTGATTAAGAGTTGATTCCATTGAAACAATGTTGATTATGAGCTAATTTTGTTGAAACAATGTTTTATCAACGTTATTTTAACGGCGGTGTCGCGGTCTGGTCGTCATATTACAGGCAATGAGTTGGAATTCGTTATGATATGAAACTAAATATGTAATCAATTTTTATTGTTCTGATTCACAACAAATCAAAAGACCATTTATTCAATATCTGTAATTATCGTGGATTGCTGTAAAGTAAGTAAGAATCAACGGAGAAACACCATGACCTAATATTTGTTGACATTGGATGTCATGCTTTATGAACATTTTTTCCATAAAAAATTTTTGGGGTAAGTATAAGATAAGATTATAATTAAATTAGGGATCAAGCATAAGATATGAGAATAGAAATTCTGACAAGCTTGCTAATTTCGAACATCGCGTAATAATGTTCTATATTAGCTTCTTCGTGTTATAATAATTTTCAATAATTTAACAATTTTTTAATGAATTTAACATCTCGTCATTGAGACTTTACTTGTAAATGTCAGTAAGCTTCACCAATCTCTCTATCAATTATTTTTCACTTGTTTATTTGTTTCATTATCTATTCACAGATAATGTTACATCTATCTACTCATATAATATGTATCGGTAACATTATCTTTAAAGTTTAACATAATTAAATGTAATCAAAATTAATCATAAGCTAAGTTAATAAAATTAATCATAATTGAAGTTAATCATCTGTACCGTTTTATCAAAGTTAAACATAATTAAATTTAATCAAAATTAATCATAAGCGAAGTTAATAAAAGATATTCATAATTATATTATTAAATCACAAATAAGCATTCTTTACCTTGCCGGCGGACTTAACGCCTTTCCACAGCGAGAAATATACGAGAAGAAATACGGTGAAGAGACACACGGCCAGCGACAGCTTGATGGGCCCCACGTCCCCTCATGAGGTGGGTCATGAGGTGGGTCATGAAGTGGGTCATGAGGTGGGTCATGAGGTGGGTCATGAGGTGGGTCATGAGGTGTGTCATGAGGTGTGTCATGAGGTGGGTCTTGAGGTGGGTCATGAGGTGGGTCATGAGGTGGGTCATGAGGTGGGTCATGAGGTGGGTCATGAGGTGTGTCATTAGTGCTGTCTCCTTCAACTCTCTTCTAACTAAAGGTAAGTCTGGTTCCAAGATATCTGCGAGATTTCTGATTCTAAATTTTTTTTTCGATACAAATATGGTGAATTTATTTTGCCTTCTACTAAATTTTATGTACTTATTGAAGTTGCGATCCTGATCAAAGCTATTTAACATGCTTTCAATGCTGGGCAATGAAGTGAAAGCCGTTTGTGAGCCAAGGATACTCTCTTTTGTTTGCTTAGACTAAAATAAAATAAGGAATTAAATTACATACCGTGTCAAACACAAAGCGATTATTTCAAATTTCTATTAGGTCAAAAGGTAAACTCGTTATCAATGCAGAAAATACGGGAACAGTGCGAACCAAGTATTACTTGGAAAGCTATATGTTGCATACTTATAATTAGCGGTATAAGAGGCGGGATAAGAGACGGCTATCCATTGTGGCCTGGAAGTGCTACGTCCGAAACATATACTAAGAATACTAAGGTATGTTACACTAGTAGTACGCGTGCCTCAGTTCGTTACCCACTGTGCTTAATGCATTCTTAAATTATTCCGTTCGTATTTTTAGATAAATAAAATTTTAAGTGCTATAATTGATGGTAATGGATGAATGTTCTTATCATCAGAATATCCATGTTCTCACTATAACGTGTTTTTCGATAAACGAAAGGCACCTACACTATGCGTATGGGAAAATCTGTGAATAAAAGACATGTTTTTGCAGGTAGAATGCACACATTCTTTCCTTCAGAACACGTTACAAGGACTGGTCTCACCTGAAGAACTCTTTCGCTGGTGAAACATGTGTGCTGTAATCAGTTTGTTCAGTTACGTTGAACGTTGGTGTGCAGTTGGCCGTATTCCAAGCGTTGCCGCACGATGTCCAGGGCAGTTCACTGCTGAACGATGCCACTAAATAATAGACACTCCACGCCAGTATTGTGTTATAGTACATCGCCATGTAGAGGTCGATCATGCAGATCGCGTAGCCGATACCTGCAGACATGGAGAAATATAACTCAGTACTCACTGCAGTGAGTGACAGAGAGCGCATTTTCTAGTCGACGAAAACGTGAAGTCACGGACGGACAGGCAGACAGACGGACGGACGGACAGACGGACATGGCGAGCACAATAGTGCATTTTTTCCATAAATGAGAAAATGCGCTAAAAATATAACTCGGTACTCACTGCAGTGAGTGACAGAGAGCGCATTTTCTCGTCCGTCCGTCCGTGAAGTCACGGACAGACAGACGGACGGACGGACATGACGAACACAATAGCGTCTTTTTTCCATAAATGAGAAAATGCGATAAAAATGGTAGGAAATTATTCCTAATACACACTTTAGATATCACGGATGTGAATTACTCAAGTTATATATTAACGATTGATACTTTATTTTATCCTTCTATTTGACACACTCGAATAAAGCTTCGTTACTATAATTTTAAATCTTTCTATGATGAAGCAAAATCGGCAAAATTTGAATTTATTATTTCATTTTCAATATGAATTTGTATAATAATATTCAGGACATTCAAGTAGGAATCGAAATTTTCAACTTAAAATTTGAAATCTAACAAATTTTACAATTTTATGTTAAAAAATAACTTTCATTTAAAGTTCAACATTCAAAATTGCAATTTTCGTTTAGAAAATATAACACTCTTTCATTTTGTAACAGTAAGTGTATCCACTCAAGAGAAATTTGAAATATTTTTCATTAGCAATCATAAAATATGATTTATATGCAAACGTTGCTAGTCATTGAACGAATCACATTGATATTTAAAATTGCGTATTGGTGGCGACGAGTTCTTCCTGAATAATTCCAGCCTGAAAGAATTAAAAAATATAACTCAGTACTCACTGCAGTGAGTGACAGAGAGCGCATTTTCTAGTCGACGAAAACGTGAAGTCACGGACTCATGATTATTGCTCTAACATGATTATTGCTCGAACATGATTATTGCTCGAACATGATTATTGCTCGAACATGATTATTGCTCGAACATGATTATTTCTCATATATAATTATTGCTCATATAAGATTACTGTTAGCACTTCAATGACGTGGAGCGTTTAAGCTTTTGCTGAAATAAGCATTTAGAATTTTAATTTGACATTGATTTTCTTTCATTTTTATAAGCCACTATTGACTATTCGTAGTTGGAGGGCCTGCATCATGATCACTGGGAAGACAGATTCTGATTACCGGTTACTAAGGAAAAAAATTTTTTTATTAATCATATGGTAGGACTTATCACTTGCAATAGTGAAGATAAAAATACTATAACTTTTACAATCAACGTGTCAAATTTACTTTGAAAATATCACGAATTGTTTGGTTAACATTTGTCACATACTTCTGACACTATTTTATGTTCGAGCAGTTAAGTTTTTGTTTCAAAGAAATTTGAATTATTTATCAAGAATTTGAATACTTTGATTTCTCTAGATAGTTTGGGTTGAATAAATCACAAGCTGGATGTATAAATAGAAACTAAAAACAATGAATAATTTCTTCTCAGTCACCCGATATTCACTTACGTATGAATACTTATGTCTGCAAATAATCAATTTTATTTCCTGAACAATGTTCTTTGGTCCAAGAAAATTCACCAATACCCAACGACTTCACTTTGGTTCATTGTTCGATTTGTCTCCGTAATGTTCGCTTCGGTGATTCTCATCATTAGTGAAGAGGACCAAACCTAAAAGTGTGGTGCACTTCTTACTCTAAAGTGAACCGGGAATTTGAAAGCAAAGACAATACCACAAAAATTCACTATATCTTTATAAGAGAAAACGTTTCGGAGTCCAGCTCCATTGTCAGTTCATAACACAAAGTTCAGTTCAATTCTGAACTGAACTTCAGTTCTTCTTCCTCTGATAAGTTAAGTTCAATTCTGAACTGAACTTTATGTTAAATGAACTGACGATGGAACTGGACTCCAAAACGTTTCTCTTATAAAGATATGGTGAATTTTAGAGGTATCGTCTTTGCTTTTAAATTCCTGGCAAACTTGCGATTTAAGCAAACAAGTGATTTTAACCCTTACTCTTAAGTGAACCGCTCTCACATGGACCGATAGTTTATACTAATCAGGAATAAATGGTTGAAAGATGAGGAAACTCTATACTTACCTTGGATAAAGTATATGATAGTATGACTACACATGTGGATTAGGTAATAGAAAATGTTACATTACAATAAATAAGGATAAATAAGAATATTAGAATGCAGCTATTTTCGATAGGAAGTTTCTATTATACAAAAAATATGCTTCCTAATGACATATTTTTTCAAGTGGGTTTCAAAAGAAACACGCATGGTTAGGAATTATCTCTTCAATTAATTAGTTGAAAATCCTGAATTATTAGTTGATTAATATTAGTTCAATTATTAGGTGGAATCATTTTCCACTCGTATTTTGCGCGAGTCCGCTGCAAAACTGCATATTTTAACTTAAATCTTATATGCGAAGACTTGCAGTAAATTGAAGAATAGGTTAATTATACAGTGATGCATCCTTGCTTGTGGTACTGTCCTAGCGCCAGCTCCAGGAAGAACAATGGCAGACCACCGAACAGCAGCATGATCACGTACGGGATTAGGAATGCGCCTGCAAAGTGAACACAATATACGTTTATATTGTTCTTTTTCCAAATATTTTAAAGGAATAAGTGATGCTGGAATGGAATACTTGCGTGGTCATTCGCAATACATTTTACTGCTTCCCTTCAGCCCACCTGCGGCTCCCAACACAATTTTTCTGAATTAAATGAAGCCCAAAATATTTTATCAATTCACGACAAATGGGATAAATCGAAATACAATTTTATGCACTTAAACTATACAAAATTCAATAGCTGCTCATTCTAAATTTTTCAATGCAGGTTTTGAAGTCTCATTTGTAGTCCCGACTCTGCCTGTTTTCTACTGATTCCACGAACTCAAACCCGATAATGATGCTACTGAAAGTCTATATATAATTTATAATATTTATATCTGATTTATAACCCTTATTTATTATAGCAGCTTGAAGCTACTTGAAGCTTGAAATTTTTTATCAATACACGACAAATGGGATAAGTTTATATACAATTTTATGCACTTAAAGTATACAAAATTCAATAACTGCCCAATTTAAATTTTTCAACACAGGTTTAGGAGTCCCTTAGTTCTATTAGTAAAATCAATAGTTCTATTGATTCCACATACTCAAACCCGGAACTGATGCTACTGATAGTCTAGATATAATTTATATTATATATAGCTGAATTATAACCCTTTCTGTTATAGCAGCTTATAGCTACCTTAATCATTCTCCCAGAGGATAAAAAAATCCACGTCGTACCTCCTCCATTTTTGTAGCAGACGTAGGGAAAGCGCCAGACATTGCCCAGGTCAACCGCGAAGCCCACGACGGCTAACAGAAACTCTGCCTTCTTGCTCCACGTGTCCCGCGGCAGCTCCACGATTGGAGCATTGCTGAGGGGAGTCTTGTGGAGCTGAGGGGAAACAGAGACTGACGTGAGTTAGTGAGGGGAGACTTGTGGAGCTGAGGGGAAACAGAGACTGACGTGAGTTAGTGAGGGGAGTCTTGTGTAGCTGAGGGGAACAGGGACTGACGTGAGTTAGTGAGGGGAGTCTTGTGTAGCTGAGGGGAACAGGGACTGACGTGAGTTAGTGAGGGGAGTCTTGTGTAGCTGAGGGGAACAGGGACTGACGTGAGTTAGTGAGGGGAGTCTTGTGTAGCTGAGGGGAAACAGAGACTGACGTGAATTGAACTATTTTGAATGAATGACTTGAATGCTTGAATGAATTCGTGATGTGCCTTAATTCACGAAGGTTTCAAATTACATTCCAGCTTTTGATTCTTGGCTGATTTTCTTGGCTGAATAAGCTAAATAAATTACGTTAATACGTCAACTTTAATTTGTAAACCATATTTCAAAAATTGACTTTTACTGACATTTTAAAATCAACGCTCGATGTTAAACCTATTATCCAAAATTTGTTAGTCAAATTCTTAATATGCTTTATTATTTTATTTGTCCTTTTAATTACTTCGGCTACAACATGGAAGTCATACCAAGAATGTAGCGGAAAGTGTTCTATATAAAATAATACCAAAATTAATTTGTTCCGGCTCCATTGTAAGGATTTCTAAGGAGATAAATAATCAGATATGATTAAAAGTAAACGAAACCCTGATTGCATTGAATTCCAGTACCTTTATAATAATTAAATCGCTTTCATCGGCTGATGCAGTCGCCGTTCTTTTACCCCAGTGTGGGGAATGAGTGTATTGCTGTGGGGTTGTTAATATCGAAACAAAAAGGGGAAAAGTAGAGGGGAAAGTAGGCTAGCCGGTTAATGTTCCCAACAAAGACTCCCTTGGGCCTTTGGCCGAGGGTGGCTGATTCGCCCAAGATCGAAGAAAGAAAATTTCGAAACAATCCCAAGATGTTGTTTGAATTTTTTTCTTAATTTTTGAAGATAACATTGTTTCATCGCTGGCTTCCAGTCGTTCCAGAAAGTGACTCAGCCGATAAAATTGAAATAAATTAATATATAATTATTTAACTACCGGTCAGTAGTAATTGGAAATAAGGTTCAACTACATCCGTTGCGATTGTTTATATAATGAAATTTATCGCATTATTTGAGTCTTTAATATTTTATCGATATTTTTATGTCAATAGTTCCTTCAGATGGCAATGCGTCATATTTAAATCCTGTAATTTTCTTAATATTTTTTCAAATTCCACGCCTTTGACACATGTTAATGTCATTCAATATCATATATTCATTACACATTATAAATTATGTCAATACATAGACAATGTCACTGCAGTGATGATACTGACATTAACGTTTAGTGATAAAATGGTTTGAAGAAACATCTACTTTTCTTTGTACTGTATTCGTTGACGGGGAGATTCTGAAGGTGAGTAGAAAAGTAAAAAATATCATTGGATCTGATGAATTAGGTCAAAGAACCAAATAAATAAATGTAAATAACATTGTTTAGAACTTTTAGGTAATTTATCAGCTAGTGGTAACAGAGTTTTCACACGTGTTCAATCCTGGAATCCACCAAAGGCTTTCATTGTCCGTTAATTAGAATGAGTCTGTTGTACATCGTTCTCTCAGGCTGCAAATTATAGACAGTAGTTAACCCATCTATAAGTCTTACGTCGAATTAAAATAACATAATGCGATAGAAGTGATCTAATGTGAGAAAAGCTCATCAGAAACGTTCTGTAAAGTGAAACAATAGCAAATTTATCGGTATATAATATATGCAAATAAAATAAAACGGCGTATCAAGAGCGACAGGTCAGGACATTTACCGCATTTGTCGGTTGCAGTTCCTAATAATAGAGAAAATAGTTTTTCAATAACGAATAGTCTTAGGCACTGACCATAACTGTGTCGGTATCAAATGCCGAAAATGACGAAAAGAACGTTTCAATAATCAATCATCTGAGGCACCGACCGCAATACTGGCAGTATACAATCCCAAAAATTGAGAAGAGTTTTTTCTATAAGAGTTAATAATATGAGGAACCGACCGCAAGAGTGTCGGCATCGTCGGACTGCGTGCCGTTGTGTGGCGGCGGCTCGTCGGCCGCGTGCTTGCCGTTCTCTTGGCCGCCGGCATCGTGGCCGTCGACGGCCGACGAGCGGCGGCTGCCGTCCGGCGGTTTGTCGGCGCCGAAATCCATGCCTTGAGTGAGAAATTATTCATTTTCAATTATTCGTAATCTTACGGAGTGTTGTGATAATTCTTAAAGATTAAATTTTTAATTTTTATGATTGATTTTGTTTACATTTAAAGATTATATATGTAATTATTAACAT